CCCTCAACGTTTTAGGTGTGAATTGTTTGCCTTATTGATGCCCAGGGGATGGCAAACTCTAGAAGACAGTCCAAGGCAAGTCACAGCGCCTGGCCTCTCTGCTCCTTCACTTTTGCTTCCAGGGCTCACAGACAAGTTTTTCAATTACTCTGACCACTTATCCATCCATTCAAAAAAAATTGTGAAGGGGCTAATATAAGACTTTACTGAAAAGATCTTCCTAATCATCCCATACTCACTGTAATATAAATATTGCATATTCCAAGAAACACTTGCTGAGCCTCACTGTTGCAATTTCAAACCCTATATTTTCCAGTCTGCCTCGAAGGAATATTACAACATAATACGCTTTTGAGAGCTCCTTCAGTGAATTTTTCTGCTTTTTTTACTTCTTCAAGGCACAGTGTTATTCATTTCAGTATTATCCATTTTGCTTTTCCCTTTTTATACTGTTCTTCCCTGATGCTGTCCTTCTTCATTCCCTCCAGTCACATGGCACTCTCATTTATCAGGTTTTTGCATACACATTTCAATCTTAATCAAACCAATTTTACACATATATAGGCCTAAAGACTCAAATTCCTCCTACAGGCATAGTTTTATCACAAACTTCATGTGAAACTGTACTGTAGCATTGAGGATAACTAATTCAGGAGACACACGGTTCTTATTTTGCAATGAAAAATTCTCTAAATGTTTTTCTCCAGTTTATTATCCTGGAAAATGACAGTTTTTTCCCACCACTACTCCTCCCCCTCTCCTCCCCCCCCAGCTCACATTAGTCAAACATCTACCAGTGTGTTTGAATGCATCTAGTCACTGTTTAGCAGGTCGTTATTTTGCATTCCACTTGTTCCACTATTAATTTTTACTGCTGTAGATGAGAGCTCAACAAATCCATTAAGATATATGCAGAAACTCTTTCACAACAGCAAACACAGGCACAACTTTCAGTTTCCATAAAGAAAATAAATGAAACCCTATACACATCCTGACAACACGATAACACAACATATCTACCCTGTTCAGGGGCTGGAACTTGATATTATTTTATTGGGTAGTATAACTACCGTTTTCTTCAAGCACAGCCAGGCCCATCCCACCTGTATCCTCTGCAGAAGACGGTTTATTGCTAATTACAACATATTATTAGTGGACATAAACAGTGGTAATACATTCGCAGTTCACTGACACTGACTGGAATACACATGGCATACTTTCCACATGGGTTGCTCCAAAAGTAATGCCTCCTGTTGATTTCCATGGAAACTACAACTCTTACAAAGAGCACAAAAGCACTATTTGAGAGACATAGTTCTTTGGCTGCAGGGAAAGCATCCAAAACGTGAATAATCTTTGTGTAAACTTTTGGTCACTGATTTGGAGTTGTGACTCAAAGAGGCAGAAGTGGTTGAAAGATATTGGTCAGTTTGGATTTTCTGTTTGGTCTCTTTCTCTGAAGTCCATTGCCCAAGGTGACTCAGCCATTCCCAGTACCAAGGAGGAAGATTCCTGCTGAGTGAGCAGATAAGTTCATATTTTGTTCCAAAAAGAAAAAAAAAAAGGAAAAAGGAAAAAAAAAAAAAAACCTTTGTTTTTATTACAAAAAGCCAGTTTGTGATAATACTTATCTCATGTGATTTTAACTCTGATTTTTCTAAAGGAATTTGGCTTAAACATACTCACAGCCTTTAAAGAAAACCTTCCAGTAGACAGATAAAGTATGTGCAATGTGTTATTGGCTTTTACTTTAACCTTTCTGAGCTCTGATTTCCAAGTTGTTTTTCATTCTGAATACGTAGCACTCCACCTCACACTATCATTGCCTTTTTCCTCTTCTCCTTAAGAATCTGTTTTCATTTAACATAAATTCGATCACATTTGATTTAACATAAAACATTTAAATGCTTGAAATGAGACGTGGTAACCTTACATAGTCTTTATGCAAAAATGGTAGATTTATTAAGCAAAAAAACCCATGACACTGGGTGCCAGAAAGCCCCAGCTATGATCAAACAGAATTGCAGCTTCCTGGTATTTGGCAATAAAGGAGAAGTAATGGCACTGTGACGTGAAAGTTGAACACATAGTAGTTTGCACTGATGTGGTAATCATCCAGTAAGTATTACAAAATGAGAAGTGGGTTTGATTTCTCAATTCCTAAATATAGAATGACTTCCAACAAAGTCTCCTTTCAGTTAAGCTCACACATGCACACACACACACACAAAAAATCATATCTGGAGTTGAAAAAGGGTATCGGTCTTGTGAGAAATGCTTTTCATTTTGTTGCATCTCTAGTAAACTCTGCCAAACCAAAGGAAAGATGTTTTAAATTTTCCTACATATCAGTACAAGAGAAGTTCATTCCAATGTTGTTCTCAGATTCTAGAAGATGAGTTTTTCAATATTACTGAGGGAAAGAACACACAGGTTTACTTAAAAGGTAAAATCCTTAACTTTAAAAGGTTAAAATCTCTTTTACTCAATCTATATTTATACTTCATTCAATTTTAAAAATAGACTACAGTCCCAGATTCCTCTCTCCTTCATTCTCCAAACATATCAAGAGAAACTTAGGTGCCTTTTCTTTTGAAATGCAACCTCTGTTCTTTACAGTGTAGGGGGCATAGGGCCCTGGTGCTCCAGAAACAGCCTGAGGTTTGCAAAACAGCCTAGGGATTTAGGATTAACGCATACAGAAAACTTGCATTGTACAGCCAGGGCAGCTATGAAATCTCAGCTATCTTACCAGCTGTGGTTTGCATATGTGCAATTTCTAGTTTGGAATCTTTAACAAAACTTTTGGTTTCACTGAGAGGTGGGATTGTGATTAGTTTTATCTGTAGTCCTCCAAACTAAACAGATTTTCCATTCTGATTACAAACAATACTCACTAAATAGCAATTTGCAGCATTCTTTGGGGTTGGAAAAACTAGAACAGGAGTATTTCAACAGAATACAATTTATAGAAGACACGCTGTTACTACAAGACAGCTCTCCCAGAAGAAACACAGCAGCACCAACAGCCCCACTGAAAATCTCATTTCCATTTGTATTTGGAAAGCATACACATGGTGTGAAATGGGCTTTGCTACAGAAAACTTACAAAATAAGAGGACAGCAAGGAGGAAAGCAAGTTGCAGAAAATCAGAGAAGCCAGTTGTACTGCTGGGGGAGGAAGGAATGCAATCCAGATCTGCACTCACAATCCGGTACAATTTCTAGACCAATTCTAAGCATACAGTTTAACCCACGATGCATACTAGCAATTTCCCTTCTTGCACATTTCTGTATTTGGCTGCTTTTGTTTGTACTCCCTTCTTCCCACATGCAATCTACAAAGTCAGTGGTGTCTCTAAAAACTGTGCCTCCATACGGCTGAACGCAGCCTAAATATTTTGGTGCTGTTATAAATAAAAATGACTATTTAAGTCTTGCTAATTAACAGATTAAAGCTTCTTCTGTAAGTAGTTCTGGACACGGATTTTATTTTTCATGGAATAAATCTGTTTGAATCTTTGGCCTTTCAGGACCTTTTTGTTTACCAGTGCCATTTAGCATTTTCTCAGCTTTTAATACTCTGTTGTTCAACCATGCATGACATACTTCCAGTAGTAAGTTAGTGCAGCAGCACATAATTTGTCTGCCTTTCGGATTGTAAATGCTTGTACTGCTGCTATCAACAGCTTCCTGACTCCATACTAGGCTGTGTATACCATATTTATACTTAAAGAAGCATTAGGCAAAACCAATCCCTGTATAACAAGGAATAGTGTAATTTGCATGAACGGACAGGTCTTGAAATGGAAAGAATTAGGATCTTTGTGGTTAAGTCACTTGCCCTTAAAACATTAACTTTCATCTACAACAGCAGGCCAGCAGAAGCTGGCAGACGTGATTTTTCTTTTACTAACTCAATAAAGGCAGGTCAAACCCAGTTAATAAATCAGCCACCACCATGCAGAATGCAGTTCTGCTGCTCTGAGAGAAAAGAGGAGATGAACAGGTTTTACTCTTCACCATCTATCAGATGCGCACCTGTCCGACTGCTGTCCTTACAACACAGGGAAAAAAAGAGGGTCTGACCCAAGCTCGTACTTTGTTACTCACACTACAGCAGGACTGATCCAGCTCATTTCTTGTAGGACTAGGCTTGATCAAAAAACTGGTGGCCACAGAGCCCTAACAGCGAACTTCTTGGCAGACCCTTAAACAAGGGCCTCCAGCAGCTGCCCAATTATTACTAACAAATAGCAATAGTTTTATCCCAAATGGCTTCCTAAAACATACAATTCCATTAATATTTATATCACAGACTAATGAAAGCATTGCCCAGCACTCTGATGCCCGTCCACGTATCCCTATCTGAATAAGCAACAGCACTGAGACAGGGGACCAATTGATTTATCTTTTCAAAGGCACAATTTCTCTACGTGACTACACTGACTGCTGGGAATAGCAACTGGTGTGGAATTTATGATGATGTTTGCAAGCTTCTGAGTTGTGAAGAATGAGTGTTTGTTTCTCGTCTTTGTTTCACCTGAACTGAAGTGAGGAATGATAGATTTTACAATAGTTAAATTTGGAAATAGTATAATTCCAATCTCAAGTATCTGATCACAGATTCTTAGAATCATAGAACCATAGAACGGCCTCGGTTGAAAAAGACCACAATGATCACCTACTCTCAATGTCCTTCTATGTGCAGGGTCACCAACCCCCACACCAGGCTGCCCAGAGCCACATCCAGCTTGGCCTTCCATAATTAACAAGGATGCCGCCACCCCATTTCCCCAGCAAACAGTCACCGGTCTGTGATGTCACCGTTGTGCAGCACGGTCACCACGGTGACGTCTGTGACCATCCCAGCCCACTCCCCATGCCTCACACCACGGCTGCCATTGCTCTCCATCCTGCTGCTGGCAGGACGACCCTGGTTGGCCGGGGAGACCGCTGCGGACAGAAATTTCTGTCAGCGCAAACAGTTAATAATTAAGATGGAGACATCTTCATCAGAAACTCCTGGAGTTTCTGTTCCAAATGCTGGCTTGGCAGACCCGGCTTCTTCTGTCCCACAAAGACGGGGTAAAAGAACAGCTCGGGATGCTGCCTTAGAAGAAGAGACAAGAGAAGAAGAAGAAGACACTTCTCAGGGTTCACAGGAGCAATCCTGTGCCAAAAAACAACGGCTTGATCTTTCCACCAAGGCCTCCTGCAAAGCCCATGACTCGGCCTGCTGCTTTCTAACAAAGCTCCGTAAAATTGTGGAAAGCGACTGCTTCCAGTCCATCTGGTGGGGCGACGATGAGAACACCATTGTGATTGAGGAAACCCTCTTCAAAACAGAAGTGCTGGGAAGGACAGGACCTCTACACAACCTCAGCATCGGCTGCATGAAAGCCTTCGTTCGCCAGCTCCACCTGCACGGCTTCTTCATTGTGGACAGCGATTTGCCCACAGCTGCCTCTCGGGCAAAATGCCCAGCAGGCGCAGCCGCGTCTGTTTGCAGTGAGGTACGCAGTCCCCCTGCCCATAGGACACCTCTCGGGACAGGTGCATTGGTGGCCGGTCCCACCTGAGGGGGCTGCAAGCTGGTGGTATTTGGGTTTCCAAACCCGCTTTCCTGCTTTGACAATCCTAAAATTTCTGATTATTACTTAAAGTAGCTTTGTCTTTTGCCATCTGGAAACGGTGGCATCTAACTCTTCTCCTCTGCATTTTGCAGTTGCTCTGCTACTACAACCCCAGTTTCAAGAAAGAGTACCCATGTCTGCAGAAATGGTTCAAGTGGAGCGCTGGCGTACGAAGGAGAGCATCAGCTGCATTCCCACCAGAGCTGGATTTCAAGGAGGGCCCTGTGAGCAGCCCTCCGAACAGACGGCGAGGCCCTGCAGCATCAGCGGGCAGTGAGCCCGCCGCTAGCAACAGCGGAGCTGGAGGCGACCGAGTTGGACATCAGCACAATTCATGCCATAGCAGATAGAGATCCTAGGTTCCAAGTGAACAGAGTAGATTAGTTCCAGAAATAAACATCCTAAATATTCTCCAGTTGCCTGTCCTGTTTCCTCATTTGACGGTGGCTCTTCCTGTGCCCAAGGGTGGGCGGTACTTCAGGGAGGTTTCATTTCTCTCACCTGGGCCCAGCAATGATGGGAGCACACGGCAGGAGCGGGGAGGTACGGGCTGTGAGCTGGAGCTGCCTCAGGTACCCGATCCCCTTCCTCCTCTCTGCCTGTGCTCTCTGGGTGGATGCCACCGTGGCAGTGAGCCATTCAGCTTGTGGGGATCCCTGGTGGTCACGGAGCTGAATTCGGCTGTCCTGCAAGCAGCATGTGTCTGGCAGCAGCACTGCCCTTCTGCTCACCAACCCGAGCCATGCTGAGCTTCCTGCCAGGGAGCGGCTTCCAGCTGTGGGCAGCTTGCTGGTGCAAACGCTGACTGAATCCTGCTCCAACAGAAGAGGTGAGCTCAGATGCCACGCAGGTGGGTGCTTCAGAAATATTCATTGAATTCTGGCAGTAATCAGGGACAGCTCTCTGAGCTGCTTGTGTCAGACCTCCAAACGTTCAGAGGAGAAATCAGTCAAAAATACCCAGAGGAGCCCCAAAGGGTGTTCTATCAGAAATAAGCACACCCTTTTGTAAGGCGTGTTGGAACGTATTTGGTTATGTGGCAAAGGGGCAGATGCACATGCTAAATGTGAGTTTTTGTGGTGTCACCCACACTTCTCAACTTTCTCCTAAGTTATCTCCAGATGGTTACAGGAAGGAAGTATCCGTTTGGAAAAGTTGTGACATCTCTGTTTTCTCAGAGTCCAAGAGAGGGATTAGTGGTAGGGGCTCATTCTGTAGGTGCAAGTAGTTCCCTCTTCCACCTAATGCAGATGGAGAGTGAGACTGGTGCTCTCTTTGTAGGATGTGGGAGAGGCTCCATACAGAGCTGGACTAGGAAATGCATGTCTACATTATGATAAACCAGTGGCTCAGAATTTGGTTCACACTTCATTTAGGAACAAAAGTGGAAGAAATGTTACTTGCACGCTGGAAAGAGAAGAGACCTTGTTTCCAGGCAGGGGACAGGAAGCCCAGGCAAATGAGCAGCTGCAGGCCTGGTAGGCTGGCAGCAGCCTTCACCTCACCAACAGACTGCAGATCCAGTATTGTGCCCTTAGGTAACCACATGACAGCATCAAAATGGATCCAAAACACCACTAAGGTCAACAAGTCCAGCATGTCCCCACGTGCCCACCAACCACGTCCCTCAGTGCTGCAGCCATGCGGTTCCTGAACGCCTGTGGGGACGGTGACTCCCCCACTGCCCCAGGCAGTCTGTGCCACTGCCTCACCACTCTCTCAAAGTGGAAGTTTTTCCTCATGTTCAACAGGAACCTCCCTTGGTGTACCTTAAGGCCATTACCTCTCATTCTGCTCTACTGTCAGCTGGAAAAAGAGGCCAACACCCGCCTCAGTACAACTTCCTTTCAGCTCATGGCAGAGCGATACAGTCTCACCTGAACCTCCTCTTCTCCAGACTGAACCATCCCGGCTCCCTCAAGGGGAATGTCAGTTGTCTGTTTTGCTCCAGCTCAGGAGAGCCAAAGGCCCCAGTCACCAGTGCTGCATTCTGTCAGACTCAGCAACAAGGCAGTGTTGACTGACCCAAGAGCTCCAGCCATAGCAGAGGATGCACAGCAGTGCCTTGCAGTGCCGTCCGATAATGGAACATGAGGTCTGAGGATAAGAAATCTGAGTATGCAAACATACTCATGGATTCACTGAAGCATAGAATGACCTCGGCTGAAAAGGACCACACTGATCACCTAGTTTCAATGCATTTCTGTGTGCAGGGTCGCCAACCCCCAGACTGGGCTGCCCAGAGCCACATCCAGCCTGGCCTTGAAAGCCTGCAGGGATGGGGCATCCAAAGCCTCCTTGTGCAACCTGTTCCTCTGTGTGAAAAACTTCCTCCTAATATCCAAACTAAACCTCCTCTGTCTCACTTTAAAACCATTCCCCCTTGTCCTATCACTAGGTGAATTCGGCTGTCCTGCAAGCAGCATTTTGTTCATTCCATTCAAATATTTGAATATTGATGTGTCATTTGAATCCAAACCTTTTTTCTTGACTTCCTGAGAAGTGAATTAGGCCCAAATACTGGGCAGCTGCTGACCACCACCTCACTAAGATGTGGCATGTAGTAAGTTTAAAGGACTGTTATACAGGACACAAGCTGTTCACTGTTGGCTGTTTTTCATTTCATTAACAGTGGGAGAATGGCCAAAACTAAGCTAACTGCCTATACATAAATCTATAGGGCATAAAATACACTGCAGGGTTCATTCTGCATTTTTTTAAAGGTAACATTAATCACATCTGACAACAGGCTATCAGTGTATTATCAGAACACACAGGGGAAGGTACAGGGTTGTGAGTCCTGTGGCTGGAATAATCCAATATTTGGAAAATTTGCATTCATAATAGGACACATCTGGTAGGAAAATACATCCTAGGTGAAAAAAAGCAAATATGGGCATGCTGAGTATTTGGGAATATATTTCATAGCCAGTAAAAAAAACTATGGAATTACGTAAGGTGTATGGGTTAGAAAGGAACATGCAAAAAGGAAAACTAAACTTCACACATATAGACTCCAGACTGCGATGAACTCAAATACTGGATTCAAAATTCTGCATACTTCCTGTAAAAATGGATAAATATTCTGCCAAGAAATCACAGACCATATTGATCAGTGAGCTGCATTCATTTTCTTTTTAACCGTCTCCACTGATCCCATGTGGCTTTGTAGCATGCATGGATTTCACTATCTAATAATACTTATATTGGACAAATTTGGGGTTCATAATCACATCTATGGCTGCTGGGACTGCTGATGCAGAAGCACAGAAAAGAAAGACTTCCTTTGAATGATAAAGGAAAGGTTGCTAAGGAGAGGGACACAAACACATTGAATTGTGCTGCATTACAGATTCCCAAATAGATTTCTCCACTGAGATGAATGGCCAGTTAAAACCTCACAAGATATTGTTTTTTCTTCCTAAGATTGTCACTAGCTGAATAAAATGTCACCTCTTTGGTTATGCGCCTCATTTAAGTTTCATGATTATTTTTTAATAAAAGCTGTATTGCTGTTATCTGACTCAAAATTTGAACAGCATCAAAATCCATAGTTGGGCATTAACAGTGAGTTTTCATAGAAAAATAATTGGAAACCAAATATGAAAATAATAGAGGAATTATGATGGGCACAAAGTTTTTAATATAGTCTCCTAAATAGCATGTATGATTTTTAATGGACTGGAACTCTTAGTAGAATCCCAGATTTACATTAGTAACTCTCCCAGCAGCAGGGACCAACACTGCTGCCTGCTAGAACATTGCAGCCTTCAGCAGCAGAAATTGGATCAGTCTCCTAAAGCTTGGCTTGCTCCAGAATTGTCCTGAAAGCATTTTTTGCTGTTGCCTTAAGTGTCATGGTTGGAATATTAAGGAGAGGCTGTGAGATCTGCCTTACTATATAAAAATAAATCACAGAAGACTAGATATCTACTATGAGACATCTATTCACTGACATAGAAGCCTCACCATTACCTGACCAGTAGACAAACTAGGGGGTGCTGTAGCAAGCTTTTTGAATTGCACTGATGCACAGCACATAAAATCACCTAGATGGCCATCGATGGAGAAGTATGACACAGCTTGAAGACATTCTACTGTAAATCACATTCCTATCCTCTCTTCTCAAATTTGGATATGTTTGAGGAGTATTTCCAGCAGAGAAGAAATCAACAAGAAACAATATTGGTTTCATGAGACAGACAAAGAGGTTTGAGATGGTTTTTAAATCCTAGTGCAGCAATTTCATTCACAAATATTAGAAGCAAACAAATAAACAAACTAACACACACCTGCACAAAAGCCATGCCCAGGTAATCTCTAGAAGTATCCAAAGATCTAAATCGACATTGAAAACCGACATTTGACATTTGTTTGTTAAGTAGAAAAAGGGATAGGTCTCTAGGTAGGCTTACAGCTTCTGACTGTAATCTGAGGCATCCAGGGTGTAGGTACACAAACAGAGCCATGGTAGGGGACACCCCGACAAGTTGCCACCACTCAATGTGGCAGAAGCAGCCCTGCAAAAAGAACAGCCACTTCCCAGGGGGTCGAATTAGCCCAGACTTGGCACTGTGACAGCATAGTCCTGGGGGCAGCTTGCTCAGAGCCAAGTGAGGTACAACTACAGAGTACCACACTGCACAGTATTATATCTGCTCCAAATAGCTTGGGAGCTGCCTACATGACAGATCTCCTGAGATAGGGATGAAACAATTAGGTCTGAAGTAATGAAAAGACAAATATCTCTCTAAGAATTGGAAAGAGTATTTTGGGGCAGAATTGTTTGCCTGTTTTTCTGATACAGATTTTGACCATGTCAGCCCTTACCTCACCCTCCTGTTCTATGTCATCCCCTTGAATCTCTACTACTCGCTTCAGACGTCATAGCAGGACCTCAAACTCCACAGACCTTTCTTGTGGCTGCCACAAGTGACTCACTCTGTCATGGAGCAAGCCTCTAAAGCTCTTTTTGAAGTTTATAATGCTTTGAGTTTATTTTACAATGTAGTCATCCCGGAGGAAAACTGCAGTCAGGATAGCAATGGTCCTTTGTGATGCTACAAAGCTCTGTGTTTGCCTAGCAAGGATGCTTCATACGTGTATGTGATGTTTTTGCCATCTCTATCTCCTTCTGTATCAATAATATAAAAAGGATGCACAGATAAAAGAACAAAATGTATTTTTGCTTCCCTCCTTTACACTTTTTCAATTAAATGTTAAGTGTAATGCTTTTTCCAGCCAAAGTGGCCTTAAAAGCTAATAGCACTAAGAAACAAATCATTGAAGGAAAACATAACATGCCCAAGGAGAAAAAGAAAGCAGGTGCTGGTATGTGCTTCTCATCCAG